GGTCAACAATCCTAGTTTTTCTACTCTGAATTCTGCTGTTGATGAGGTTTCCATCATATTGCCAAACACAAAACACCAGAGGCTCGATCCTTTGGAGTTCTCCTCCAAACACGTAAGTAACTTTACATAGATAACAGCTATTGGCACAAGATTTGTTGTACTTCAATGCTGCCCAAATGAATGACTCATACAAGGCGGCTTTCAATTTTAATCAACATAAACCCCTACTTCAAACTCGCAGTCAGCATAAAACCTTACACAACATCTCCCACTTTTTACACTCAAGTCTACAGATATTTGCATATTCTACAGAACTATAAGACTGCTTCCCTTTTTACAGCACTCAATGTTATTGGTCACGTTCCATCACAACGCACATCTGCTGTGCACGCAGACACGCAGGAACTATATCACACGCAAGGTACCTAGTACAGCTTCACAGAGCACTAGGGTGTGGGGAAACTGCAACAGCCAACGATTCTTTATTGCTAAAAGTTTTGGTGCAGAGGCCTCTTGTCAACTGTCCAGCTTAGTTAACTCTATGGGGGTTCCCTTTTCAAATATGAGTAGCAGAGATCGGGAGTTAGAAACAGAAGAAAAGCTGTGAAGACAGAATTTAGCACAGCAGGCATCGAAAAAGAAGTAAATCTGGTGTCCTTTCTGGAAAAAAAAAAGGATACTTAAGTTGCAGGGCATCGTTTCCACTATATTCATTTTTGGTGAATAAGATCCAACATCAGCTTGAGAAAACCTCTATCAAGTTCTTACACAATCACAAAATTGTTCAGCAGCTTTTTCTTTTTTCTATTAAATTATTCTTTACTTGTGTCCCTACTGATCAGGGACAGCTGCTTGCACAGGAAGGCTATTTCAGCAATGGAAATAAGTGGAAAACTGAATTCATAGCTTCATTTTTCCCCCCGATAAAAATCTCTTTGATCAGACCATCTTGCACTAAAGTAATTGTATTGAAAATACTTTAGTAATAAAGTTTTAGGACACTTAACAAGTAAAAAAACACTTGGAAAATCATTGACCCCAAATTCAATATGTGAGAAGTAAGTATGTGAAAAGTCTCACAAGATCTGAATGCAGAGGGCAGCAAGAACCTTCACCTGTGAGTGACAGCAAATCAGCTCCATCTGCACCAACTGGCTGGGAGATGCAGAAATTCACTGTTTTGGGGGGATTTATTGATTTCAGACTTTTATTCATTTCAGCAATCCACCCAAGCAAAATTCAAGTTTTGATTTCAGTTTGTACTAGAACAAAGCACACTAAAGGTGAGCTTAGGACAAGCTTAAAAGCATTAGGTTACCTAACAGACATGTTCTACCTCTAAATTCTCTGAAACTTTCTCAGGAGCACCTGTCATGGAAGTCTTTCCAACTCAAACCAATGGCTGCAAAAGAAATCAACTCTGCAGGGTGAACTAGATCTACACTTCCAGGAACGTGCACTTTCTGGGCTGTGAATTAACCAAGCTCTGCCTTCCACCACGAACCCTAACCGGCACAACAGGTGGGAATTAACATGCTTTCACCTACTGTCTGAAGGTGCTTAATGTCATCCCCTTTGTCTGAGAAATGTAAACCAGGATCATAAAGCTAAATGCCTTTTTACAGACTACTTTTCAGTATTGTCCACTGTTTATATCAGAGTCTTCCTCTATGTCCTCACAGCCTTGGATCACCAGTAGCTGCCTGCATCCCTACCAATTGCTCGAAGTATAAACTTGCTGCAGCAAAACCAAACCAAGCCCCATTCACAACCCCAGATATAGTATTGTAAGATTTGGGTTATTCTGATTTTGACTTTTCTATTTAAATAGGGAAGAATAGCCTAATAGACCTTTTCAATTAAATTCTTCCAGTTTAACACATAATTTCTTCTTTTTGGAGTCTGCAACACTCTTTGCCATTTCCTTTATAATTTCTGCTTCATTTTCCCCTTAAAATTTGAATGTGAGGCTTCTCCCTTATGTTTAAGACTGCTTTTTGCTCCAGTACTGTGAGAAAAGTGCCTCAGAAGCGGTGCTGTACATGCTGTCAGTGCAGCAACAAATGCTTGTTAAACGCATTTGTATAGATCAGCCCTTCCAGCTCTTCAAATCTGCAAGGTCTGCCTCTGAAAGAATTTTTAGGGCACATTAAGATTATAAATACATGAGAAATTTTTAAGAGAAGACATTCAAACAGGAGGAGAAATCTTAACTCTCTGGGTCATCACTTGCACATGTATCACTATGATCATCAGGGTTGCTGTTAATAAACATTCTTCAGAAAAAGATTCACTGTTTTAACTAATGAACTTTATATTGTTTACAAACTGGCAGATTACAAGGCATTAGGAAGTGGTGGGTTTTCTTCCTCTTTCTAGGACAATTAGCACAAAAATAGAATGGTGTAATCTCGTTTAGCACTTATGAAGAGAAGTCTTTCCATTTTAGGCCATGAATGCATAGCTGGGTCTAGAGCAGCCCTGCAAAGCAGAGCAAAAATTTCACAATGTCTTTAAAGAAGGATCCTTCCCCTCTTCTACTGAATAAATTAAAACAAGGTAAAAATCAATGGAGCATTGAGATGAGAGCTTTATACTGATCAGTGCCTTCACACAATGCAAAAAGCAATCAGCTGGCTGTTATGTCTTCCTAGAACTCATTTCACATTACAACAACTTTCACTTAACAGAACACATACATAAACACACCAGGACCAGAATACTGAAGTGTCAGAAACCACACAAAATACTAACTTATATTTTTGTCAAACGTTTCTTGCATGCTCTATATATTAACAAAAGTTCAGGTAACAAACGATTGAGGGATTTGATGGCGGGAAGGGGGTTGCCAAGTTCCTCTTGTTTGTGGACAGTAAGCGTATCGTACAGGCAGCAGAACAAGCTCGTGGAACTGCTGTCAACAGCCATCTCCTGGTCCCCTGCCACAGTGCTGAAAACTTATATTCCCAGCACAGCACCTTGTCTCTAACACCTCATCCCCCTTAAATCTGAAATATGAGAATGAAGACTATCTACCACAGCTGCTTTTGGGAGCAGGAGATCAGGGTTGGTGGGCAGCAAGGGAGTACAACAAGAGGAAAAAAAAAAATAAAATCTGCTGAAGCTGTTGTACTACAACATAAGTATTTTTAGCGTAATAATAAGAGATCACAATCACTACTGCAAAATTTGAGAACGGAAAGACTAGTACCAGATGTTGTGTTGTATTTTATTTTTCCAGTACAAAACTAAGAGCCCTGTATATTGACCTAAATACTCAGCTCATCACTAAACCCTGCATTCATAACCCTGCATTCATAAAAAGCAGTCTTGTCTAAAAAGCTGAGTCTGACTCACAAGTATCTTTTATATTTCTATATTGCTTTTTTCTCCGAAGACATTTACCTAACTCCTGTTCTTTGGAGTAAGGCAATCATGTTTAGAACAGAGGATGGATTCCAGCTCTTAGAGAGAGCCTCCTGTACTAAATTAGTAAGACTTCCTTGTAATAGACTTTTAAACAGAAATGGGCTCTTACTCACCAAATTAATCCACTTCCATGACTTTAAAAGACTGCCTAAAGCTAGATGGCCAGTCTGCTATTCCATTTATAGACAATTTCACCCTGGTTTTAGTCATTAGAAATTGAGAAGGCTCAATACTTCTGAAATTAGGCCTTTAATAGCTGCTGGAAGTTGCATCTTCACTAAGCAACAAACAAACAAAAAAATTCAAACCCAGTCTTGGTTTAGACTATTTGTTTTGAGACACTACACTGAGAACAACGTAGACGTGCATCCTGTTTATTCAACGGGCAAGGACGTAACGGCCATCAGAACTGGAAGGCTCTTTTACACCACCACGATACTATGAGCAAGCACTAGAGCTCAACCTCAGTCCTTGTTTACCCACTCTTAGCAGTCAGGAAAAAAAAAAAAAGAGGCTTTTTTTTTTATATACTACAAACATCATCCCATAAACCCTGAAGTAACACAAACAGTTACGTCACTACACCATACTAAAGAACTTCAGTTTAATATTCCAGGAAAGTTTTATACTGTCAACACAATAAATTGGAAGCTCTGTTGCTAGAGACAAGCCTTATCCTTTCTGAACTTTCCTTCGTTGTGACCTAAAGGAATAAAGAATGATAGACACATGCTTGTGAAGGCTGTACTCAAGGCATTGTTCTAAATCACCTATGGATATACACTCTTACTTACACATTAGTATCCTTAACAGAAACAAAATCCTCAGTGACATACTGAAGACACTTTGCTTTGTTAGGAAACACTAAGTAAAACAATAAATATTTCCATTCAGCTGGGATAGCTGACAAAACTTCTAAGGCACAGGGTGAGCCCTCTTGGTAAATTTCTGATCCACTCAACACTTTGGAGTACTTATTTTGGAAGTAGCAACAAAGATTTGACATAATCTGTGCATATTGTGAGAAGTACCATAAGGAGTTAATTGACATTTTCCTACCACATATTTTTAGACAAACATAAAACCGATATGCCGGATCAGACCCAGAGATCCATTAGTCCAGTTTCCTCTTAGAGCATGATATTGGAAGCCTTTGTGAGGGTCCTGTAAGGTCTGTTTTGGATCTATGAAGGACAACTGCCCTGCTTTCATGGCACATGAAGGCCACTGACTAGACATCTTCCACTCTGAAGCAAATTATTTTAAAGTCTTTCCAAAACACTGGTTACAACTGAGGGTATTTATATACAAAACATAAATAAATTCACTATTAATAATAACTTTTGTTTAAAAAGTCAATATTTATTTATGTCAGCTATAAGGACAAACTTAAGATTTTTCCACAGTAGGTCTGCAAGCTCTGACAGAGATAACAAGCCAGGAAACAAAACATGTTTTAAACTGTCTGCAACGCAGACTCTTTGGAAGGAAGACCTAAACAGAAGCCAGCTTTTTTTTTTTTATTGGGGTTTTATTTTCGATAGGGTTTTTTGGTTTTTTTTTGGTTTTACCTTTTAAATGCTTCAGCAGGGTTCCTCTCACATTCCCCGGGTTGCAAGAGACTTTGAATAGCAGGATCTCTTAGTTTGTCCTCATATCCCTGGATCAGTCCACTGCGGCAGATTTGTGCAACTAAACCTCTAATAAACCCTCCAACACACAGCGTGTCAGAGTCTTGGGCCCTGCAGAAATGGAAGGCTAGAGCCTGACGATGTAAGCCTCTTTGTAGGTTCGCAGGTGAGCTTGGCCACAGTAACTCAGTACAGAGAGCCGTCTTCCCACTACCGGGCCCTCCTACCAACAATACACCCCAGGCAGCTCCTTTCCCAGTGACAACACCGGTATTATTCCCAGAATTCGCTACAAGAGATGGTTTGTTGGCAGCACTACCGCTGCAGTTAGCTTTCTCCTGGAGGCAGTGCTGAAGCTTGTGGAAAACCCACTCCCTACAGTAAAACTGCTTTCCCTGCAGCAAGCTGGTTTGAGCCATTTTATAAAGCTTCTTCTCCTGGGTTTGTCATAAACAGCAGTACACCTTCAACATCTCAGAGCAGGGAGAGAGACGCATTCATCTTGCACAGGGAAAAAGAAAGTCTTCTGCACAGAGCTTGACAGAGGTTACGGTAATCAGGTAACCTTCCCCCTAATACTTAACAGCCTCTTCTCAGGAAGGGTGTCACTCCATTTGTATGCTTTATCACGATTAGCACAGCACAATCACAGTTCAGCTGACATCATGAAGCGGTGTCTGATACCAACGCTCAACAACACTTCTCGTATGGCTCAGAAGTTCATACAGCTCCATGGCTGCATCTGTAGTTTAGGCAGTTGCGTGTGTTCCCAGTATACAGGGGAGACAATACATCTGGAAAAACTGTGGGAAAGCCAACTTTTCAGTGTATACTAAATGCCTTTTAACTCTAGGCATTAATCTCTCTGGATATATAGCCAGAAAAGGCTGTCCACAATAAAGTGTTCCTTCTGGGAATTTTATAAAAGACAGTGATTTTTCTTCAGAGCACTACATACATACCACAAACGTGGCTAAGTACCACTTGCTAAGAAACGGTCAGCGTGGACAGCGAGCTTTGCAGACTTCATACATCTGGGTGAGTGTCCGAGAAGTGCTTCAGATTATAGTTTCTTATGCAGTATAGACAACAGAGAAAACCTAATGTTTACAGCTTCTTATTTCAAGACATTTGTAAGTGTCTTCTTCAGGAACTTGGGATTCTTACGGAACCTGTTCTCAGGTATCTTAATCGCAAGATGTCAGAAGAGACAACATCCTCCCCTAGAGCCCTGAAATAAAGAAGACAGCACTTTTAACCCTACATGCAAGTCATAATTCAGTCAACTGAAAATGCAGACAACAAAGAGTAAAGTTAAGGGCTCTTATTCTTTATTTTTGCTTATACTAACAAACCAAGTTAATCCAAAAACCTGTTTTAAAGAAATTTGCGTTACGAGGTACGATTAGCCACATATAAAAAACATAACAAAACCCAACAAACAGATATGACAGTGACCTCAAAGCCACAGGAGCAGCAAGTCTTGCGTTTTCTCCTGAGGAGAACCGAATACACCCCTTCATCTTCAAAACACTCTTCCTAACAAGGCTTCATCACCGAATTCTCGCCTCACGCAATTTTTCCTCCTGCCGGCTACGGGGCTGGTGGTGGTGGGGTTTTTTATTATTATTTTTTTTTT